TTATCCTGGTATGGATGCTGCGTTTTGTGGTCCCGATGTTTACTTGTCCGCAACTGCCTTGTATGCGGTATACTCCTATACTATATCTCTGTTAGGGTTTCATGTACTACTCTTGTTCTCTGCAATGTTATGTTTTGAACCAAAGTTTCTATTACATGTCTTGTTTGGAAGACCTTTTTAAGCACTTATTTGTTTGGCTCAGTAATTGACTGTTTTCAAGAAAACTGGGAACTCTATATGATTGACGTGGCAAGTTGATGATATTTCATTGTTCATAAAGATATGCATGTCCTAACCAAATAGGCAAATCAACATGACATTTTAAACTTAGAGTTTCCTGAAAAGCATTATTTTGCAGTTTTGTCTAGTCTGGCCTTAAAAAAAAAAAATCACTCCAATTGCCTATATTACTTGTGCTTATAAAATCCAGCTGTTTTTACTGGATCAGTTTCTAATCTCCCATGGAGCTCTCCCAGGTCCTGAATACCTGATGCTCACAGGCTGCCAGTAACTAGCTTTTTTATCCAAGAATTGCTGTTACAAGTTGCAGGCAGAGTTAAATGACAGTTCTTCTCATTTCAGGTACAGATACAGACTGGCTAGCAGATTAATCAAACAGAAGTTATGATGCAAGGCAGGCTGTATAACCCTGAGCGCTAAGTCTCACGGCTGCTGCTTTTCTCTTAGCATTGTGTTGCATAAAGTGGCTAATTCAGTGTTTTTCAAACTTGCCAACTTTAAGATGTATGGACTTCAACTCCCAAAATTCCCCAGCCAGCATTCTGGATCACTGGTTCAGCTCAATACTCCACTAGTTTAACTAGTGTAGTGAAGGCTGTCAACTGCAACAGGACACAGGGAAACTCCCTTTTTGTATGAATTGTTCTCAAAACCCCTGATATTCATGGGAAGTGTGGGGGGGGGGGAAAGCCCTTTATCCCCTTTTATATAAGAACCTTTGTGTGGAATATCCAGCATTTCCTAGTTTTTGTTTTGTTTTTTTCATATGTGTCTGGCATCTCACCATGATTGTGCTTGCTGGAAAAGATCAATCTCCAGAAATATTTCAGCAATCTCTTCATTTATTTTCTGGAAGCAAGAGAAATAATGAGAATGAAGTCAGAGAGAAAAATAGTGACCATGTAGAATGTTTTCCCAATATTCAGTACAGAAGACTAGGTGGTGAAAAGAAAACAATAATTACATACCAGGTAAACAGACTGGCATTTTTCAGCCATTTCACTCATATGCAATACAAACGTTTGCATTATTTATCCTTAGGATAGCTGTTCAAGATATCTTGCTATTATGTCTATGTTGCAGATGAAAAACATATGTGGAAAGATAGAGATTCTCTAAGTAATTCAGAAAATGAGTAAAGATGGTCAAGCACCAAACTTCTAGTAATAATGCCAGAAGTCTTTTCGCAGAAGCATAGCCATTATCCAAATATATTGTTCTATCTCATAGGAAAATAGTGCTTATTCAGTGTAATACACATGGCTTTATTAAATCCTCTTCTACTACCTGTAACTCCACTAAGTTCAGGGTCAAAAATTACCTAGCTGCATTATTGATTCAGATCATCCTTTGCTTTCTCTCAGCCTTCCCCAACATGGCATAGTCCAAATGTACTGGACTACAACTCCTACAATTTCCACTCCACACAGTCAATAGGCATATTGAATGGGATGATGCAAGTTGTGCTCTAACTCATTTGGATGGTGAACTGAGTGATTCGTACCTGAATGTCTTCCAGAAATTGTTTCTGATGCTTCTTGATTATTTGTAGCTCAGCCTGCTCAACCTCACTCAAGTCAGTTGAATCTGAAAGACAGCAACCTTTTTACTCCCACCATAAAATTCACTGTAGTAGTAACATCCAAAAACACATATATGGTACAAAATATCCCACATACATGTAAATTCTTTCATTCATCTTCATGCAATAACAGTTAGAGTCTAGACTGTCATAGAGTTTTCATATTCAGGGGACAAAATTGTTTGATTAATCCAGAACAAAACCCATGAGTTGTCATTAACAGAACAGGAAATATAAAGTGTTCACAGGAAAAGAAATCTGCCAGGCCACCTGGGGTCAATGAATCAGAAGTCCAGATATCAGGGCAAATAACAATGCATTGTTGAAGTTCAAGTGGTTAGTCAAGAAGAGTCGACTGGAGGAGAACAGTAACAGAACAAGGACTGAAGTAGATTGATGACGTTGATCCCAGCAACTGAATTTGCATTAACTAGAAACTTTTATAATGAGAGTTTTTCTGGTTACTCCTCTATTTCCCAGATAAATGACACCATATGGATGTTTTTGAAAAGTCTTTATGTGTTTTTCATTGTTGAAAGCAGAGGCTGTGATGCAAATCCATGCAGATGCTGCTATTCCTGGAGATTTGAAAGGAGTTCCAGATTTCTTTTCTGGCTTAGATGCAGGGCAGGCTAAATTGCTGATTCCTTAATATTAGTACCATTTTTAGAACATGCATGATGCGTGCTGAGCCATCTCCTCTGAATAGGTGTCTGATTCTGGAGAGTAAAGTTCATGACTGAGTAGGGATTTGAATCCAGGGTTTTTGAAGTGCTAGTCTGTCACTCCAATTATTATACTCAATTCTATGTGCCTATCTACATGATTTTTAAAAATTAACATTATGGGAATGACAAATCAACATTATGGAAATGACAGATAAAGCTGTTTCAATTCATTTGAATTAAAAACTTAGTTTGGGAATTTGATGTAAATACAAAAGTCAAAGAAAGTGAGGGAGATACACACAAAGACACACACAAGTGGGAATGGCTGTCATAATATAGTAATAAAATGAGAGGTTAAATATCAGAATAGTGCAAGCAAGAGTATTCCCTGTGAACCTCTATGGAAATGAACATTGGACTTCGAAGAAGCAGGATAGGAAGTGCTTTTGAACTTTGGTGTTGGAAAAGACTCCTGGACAGCCAAGAAAACAAACAAATGGATCATTGAACAAATCAACCCAGAGCTCTCAATCAAGGCACATATGACCAGGCTCAAATTATCTTACTTTGGACACAGTATGCAAAGACCTAGCTTCCTAGAGAAGGCTCTAATGCTGGGAAAGGTGGAAGGAAAGAGAAGAAGAGGACGATCAGCAGCAAGGTGGATGGACTTAGTTACAGTGGCAATGGGTATGCCTTGGAAGACCTGAAAGATCAAACTGGGGACAGATTGTCATGGAGAACATTTATCTATGTGGTTGCTAAGAGTCAACAACTTGATGGCATGTAATCAATCAATCAAGATGACAGGTTGAACAGAATAATCTTATGGACACTTCTAACTCAGTACAGCCTTTTTGCACAGGGGAAGATCAAGAGAACAAGTAGTTGACCAAGTGGAAATTATAACAACGCACCTGGTAAGTGACCAAGTACTGTACCATTTTGTGTCATGGGAATTACTGCCTCTAGCTACACTTTTGCAAAAGAAGAAAAATTGGGGTAGGGGAACTGTTTCTCTTCCTGCCAGGTGTGCTTATGCAGAGGTCTGCATAAAAGGAAGCAGGCTTTAGCTATAGTGGAGACAACCTGCAAAATGATGAAGTTGGAAGATACTGCAAGTGTGGGTTGGTATCTGCCCATGCTTGCTCTGCTAAAATGGCTTTTGTCTCCCATTATTTCTTTCAAAGGGAACCAATCCTCTGTGTAAGCACTTGGGTCCTGGACACTTTACAACATGGAGGACTGAAAGGGTAATTCCTTAGAGTCATTTTCATGTATATCCTGAGAGTGGTCCATAATCAGTAACTATTTTGTTGAGACAACATGACATAGACATGTCAGCCTTACTAGATAGACCAGACAGGAAACATGACCAGATAAGCTAATTCTACTTTATTGTAAGGCTACATTAACAGAATCTTGCAAGTCTGAAAGTACAATTCTCTCGCTGACATGTCAGCCTTACTAGATAGACCAGACAGGAAACATGACCAGATAAGCTAATTCTACTTTATTGTAAGGCTACATTAACAGAATCTTGCAAGTCTGAAAGTACAATTCTCTCGCTGTCTCCTTTATAGCCCAAGAAATTAGGGAGGCTCTCTTCTGAGCCTCTTGCCCTGCCCACATCCAGCTGCAGACTATACTGTCTCTTATCTGACCATTCCCTTGGCAGCATCTCTTGGCCCAGTCTCCCAAGGTCTTTCCCACATATCATTACAAGACAATTACAAATCACAATGATGGCTCGAATTCTAAAATTTATACCTGAACACCTGTGGTAATACTATTTGCCTATACCTTCCTCCCCATTTGAAGGGAGACTTAGGCAGTAGAAGATTTTGAAAGAAATGGAGGCCTTATTATCTATCAGACGCTGTCCATAAATCTTACTCTAGGCTGTGCTCAGTTCCTGTTTAGTTCATAGGAAATGGGGTGGGTGGTGTCAGAGATAAAAGCCACAAGATGGTTTACTAAAGAAGCAGAAGTAGCAAGCGGCAGGGATGGGGGGTGGATAACGCTACAGTTAAATCATGAATGCTTAACAAATATTTGTCTATTAATGAGAAACAGCTACTGTAACTGCAAATAAAAGTATTTATTTAATGTATTGTTGTTGTTTAGTCGTTAAGTCATGTCCGACTCTTCGTGACCCCATGAACCATA